GGGCTGTTAATCGTCCATATTCAGAATCCTTAGCTTTAGCAAAATCATTAGTTGAACAAGGTGAATTAAAACCATCAGTGGATAAGAAAACTTATGGACAGTATAACAATGGATTAGAAGATATTGTAAAAGCATTAGATTATTATGATAAAGAACATCCAATTGGTAAAGTTATTATTAAAATATCAGATCCTGTTTTTAGTTTTTCAGAAAGAGAATGATCTGTGAAGTGTAATGCGATTTTTTTATTTGAAGTGGGAGAAAGTAGTTTGTCAAAGAAAGTTTGAATTTAAAAAAAATGAACAATTGCACAGACATAGGATGATGCACTGTTGATCCAGCTGTGGGGAAATATGCAATAGAATTGCACTTGTGTCAAATTAGTTTTTATACTATTATTTGTGTTAATATTGGTACATGGATTTTATTTCGTATAATATGGAAACCATAACTTTTTCTCGTAGAACTATAGAAAGATAATAAGAGTCGAAGATTATTCAGAGGAAAGTTTGTCGTATCTTTAAGATAATTATTTGACAAGAATATTCATGCAGGCATCAAAAATTTTTACTTCCTTACAGTAGGAAACCTTCGTATATTAAATGAGCGTTTACAGCACAGCAGGGCAAACGCCGACGTCGGAATACATATGAACCTTAACTTTTCAAAAGACAGCCGCAAATACTCTATCTTAATCTTTATTTCTACGATCACATTCATAGCTGTTCACAGTATCAACCACTCATACCAATATTATAGCTTCACAGTATCATAGTGACTTCTACAGTTTCATAGTATTAAAACTTTACAGTTTAATTTTGCGTTTGTAGTTACTAGGTTTTCAGCATATCTGATGAAAACAACTATTGTTTTGAGAAGGGCTATGATATGTTTACTGGAAAAAATGAGCGAGATGGGTCTTTAAACGCCATTTGTTTATGTATAGCTCGAAACTGTATACACGCATAAAATATTGCAACGAGTAATAAAAGAATAAACACCACTATCATATCAATTAAATACCATGAAAAGTTTGAAGAACATAGGTCGAAATATTGCGTGATACCTGCCTGTTTTTATATAAACGGTGAGCGATCGTCATTAATCAGCTTATCGATTTGTAATGATAATGTATCATTTCTATTAGGTCGCGTTGCTACTGGATGCAGTATATTTATTACTTTATTTGTGACTTCTAAATATGTTCCGATCGAAAATGTTGTAAAAAGAGGTTCATTAAAACACTGTTCATCAGTTGGTCCATGAAGCGTGAAATTATGACATCACAAATATTTTCGACAGGGTACTTTAATAGTGCTAAGTAGTGGTAGTGTTGCCTTTAGATCATCCGAAGCAGTAGTACCGATTATGTCTGTATTTTGCAATAGTAAACACGATAACGATTCTGGGACAGATATTGCCAAGGGGGAAAAGGCGACTTTTTTCTTTCTTAGTATCGGAGAGCATCGCATCAGCATCGGATGTTGAGGATGTCAAGCATCGGAAAGCATTTCCAGAAAGCTCCCGGAGGCGTCTTTTACCCCCCATCCTTTTGGATATTGCCCGTGCGTTATAAAATAATGGTATCAACGAATACTCGGTATCGGGTATTATTTCCAAGCGACAATTTTCATAAGTATTATTATTAAATAAACTTCTTAAGCATTTATTAGCAATATCATTAGCAATTGCTGGGCTAATTTTACAAATCACAAATTCGAAGAATACACATTGTTTCACTTCACCATTATACCAACATAGCGTACGTTAGATAAGTTCATTGAATTCGATGAAATTTGGTAATTTTTCAATTTTTAAAAGCATACCATTAACAAAAACTGGGACAGGTTTGATTTCATATACATCGAATATGCGTTCAGGTAAAGTGCTTGGTATATGTAAAAAACAAGTGAAACATAACGACTCAATCGTGTTATTAGTGCCTTAATGAAAAGAACTAAATTAGTGGATAGCCAAAAATTGTTACTATTCATTTTAAGATAGAATTTATTTGAATGTTTTTTCAATAGCTGAAGAGTGAATGCAGTTGGAATTTTCATTGTTATTTAGTATAGTTTGTTGTAGAGAAACTTTACTGTACTGCTGAGATGGGTTTTCATGTGTAACATAATGACTAGATTCCTTAAAGTGCTTTAGTAATTTTGTTCAAGATTGACTCCTCTATATGTTGCTCTTCTCGGATACAAGGCATCGTGGTGAGACACCAGTAGTTCATTACTATTACATCTAGTTTCCGAAAAATAGAAAAAAGGGCTGTTTCATTGATAAAAACATCCAAATAAATAGTATTTTAAGATGAATAATAGTTCCGCTCATTCCTTACCATAATTGTCTCCATTGTTATGAAAACTCAGATCTTGTACTATCAGGAACTTCTTGGCAACCAATCCAACTGGTAGTCGACAAGATGTATGTTTCAAACTCAATATATAGTGCATTAATACATTAATAAATGTTACTTTCTCACTAGGTGACAGGAAATCCATGTTAAGTTTTCCATTATACATATCATTTATTGATTTTACCAGTTACAAAATTGCCAAAACGTAAAGCCAAATTAGCAAATTGTCTTATTAAAGAATCTAATTTAAAATCGTTTTTTTCTAGTTTTTGTTTTAAGGTTTCATAATGTTCTTCCACTGTAAATATACCTGTCGACGCATCTTCAAGCACACGTAAAAACGTTAACCGGTCATTTTCTGATACGGAAATACGTGCCCCAGATTCTTTATTTGTGGTTTCTAAATTAACCATTCTGTAATATATTTTGGTAACTTCAGCTTTTAAACCACTAATCCGCATTTGATTAGCTGGTGCAGTTACTCCAGTAAAAAATAAATTAATCGCCGTCCCTAATAGATCCGGAAGAAATCTTTTTCTAACATGACGGTGAAGTTGTTCAAATTGCTCTGTACATTTAGGGATGTTTTCTAATGTATAGATAATAAACTACACTATAATTCTGTAACCGGTATATCAAACGTGGATACCTTTATTTCATCATTAAGTGAAATATTTCCAGTCCACCTACCGGTTACCTTCAATGTTTCTGTTAACAATACAAACTGTTTGTCGGACAATTGCACTTTATCAGTATTAAAAGTATAACAGGACGATATAAATGACCATAGGAAAATCAGATTTAACAAATTTTTAATGATATACATATTGTTTAATAATATCTTTAATTTCTTTTAGTATTAATATTTCTGACTCACGAACCTTGGATATTTAGTTGTATTTTGATGTAGTATTACTTGACTTTTTTAACCTTTCTTTTGATGTCTGTTAAACACAAAATATTAAATCAAACTTTCTGTATTCGAAGCCTCACATTGTGTATAATAATAAATTAGAATGACTAGACTTAAAGCTGCTGTACATTGTATCATATTTTTACTCAAAAGTTTGCCTATACAAAAACAAACAATATCTGTTTACTTGCACTTGAGAAAACAGTAGAATTGAAGTAGAACGCACTGAATTCAACCGAAGAGGTGACTCAGGTATGAACTTTTTTAGATGAGGCAGAAGAAGTTCGACGAAGTCTTGTTGTGATTCTCGCATCTTCTTGTTCTTTTCTCAATCGTTTCAGTTCATTTTTCAACTTAACAACGATCTTTTAGATACATCGAGCATTGCTTCAAGGCGATCATTAACGTTATTCAATGGCAAACCTCTTTTCTCGTTTCAGCACAATCAATAACAGAAAATGCTAATTGCTTATGTGTGCTTAGCACCGGCAATTTGCACCGGCGGTTTGTATATGAGGCCAAATAAATCTTCCATCACCCGAACCGTACCGCATCGTGACGGAAAAGACGACCGACCGGCTAGTGCACCAATTGTGAGGTTCTACTCACTCACTTCTCATATTTATTTGCATAAAGTGAACGGCTATATATAGTACACAAGTTGAACAACAGTTATGCAAGAGTTGCGCAAGAACAGAAAGAGTTGGAAAAACCAGAGGATGACACAAGTATTGCGCAAGAACAGAAAGAAAGGAATAGAAGAAGAGAACATAGTCTTATGAGCTGCCAGGAATGGCAGATCATAATATTGTATTTTAAATCTTTCTGTTATGCATGAGTTTTCCAGAAGCCTATTATTTTTTTACATCAGAAGATAGAGAAAAGTGTCCTCTTCAAAATCAGATCCAAGTAATTGTGCGAAAATTTTGCTTTGGTCGGGAGAGAGATTTTCCTGAGAGCTTCGATTTCGGCCAGTTGACCTTGGATCACCCTAAAATGGGCCAGGATAGGGGTAATCGACCACGCTGAGGCGAGTGGTGATGTTTATTTTTAGTTTCGAACCGATCTAAAGTCACTATAACAAGATTTTCAAATTCCAGCATTCTGCCACTATGATGCGTATAGAGCGGATATTTCGAAAATTCTGGCAGAATTTGAATAAGAAAGCTTTTTAATTGACGGAAGTGGCTGAATTTCAAGCTAGCTTTGGGAAAAGGTTTTCCGAAAAACCTTGAAAAATTCTAGATTTTTGGCGTTTTTCTCCTTTCATATGCACTGTGGAATCTTCATTTATACGTCATTCGACGCAGAATTTCATTCTGCGTCGAATGACATATAACTCAATGGGTTTTACAAGAAAAGCTGTCAGCTTTTTTCGAGGTGCGCTGACCGTTTTTGACAAGAGGCCCCGAGTGTTTTCCATCCCCAAAAATTCGACGACGATTCAAGATAGTACTCTAGGTCTACTTCCCGAAACCACAGAGGACCCTTCAAACGGACCATCTTCGGTTGCAAAAATCTCTTTAGAAAACGGCCGATGACGTTTTGTCTATGTCTAAAGAATAAACAATTTCTGAAGAACGCTTAACTCAAACAAGTTCAAATTTTTAGCATAGATAGTACTCATACCAAGACAGCCCTGGTAAAAGTTTAAGCTCATTAGCATTTGATTTGACGCAATTGTAGCTTTTTAGAATAATTTTAAGTTATAAAAATGTCAGACTATGTCACAAACTTCTCTGTAATTTGATAAAGAGATACTAAACTGAGCCAGTTATCACGCATCTGTTTCCCTTCTAGATGACAGACGATAACGAGGGATTTGATGTTTTCGATGACAAAAATTCCTTTGAGCCACAATATCTATGCCAATACTGTAAGAAGCTAGTTAAAGATCCGAAACAACTTTATTGTGAAGATCGTGCATGCTCTTCTTGTCTGAAGGCAAGGATCGGGTATTTACCATTTTCACCACGGTTACGAGAGAAGATTGACTCAATTGATTGTAAATTACATTCTAGATCATACAGTGCGGTTCAATGCACTTTGTGTGAAGAAACATCCACAACTCAGCAGGTACCACGCAATAAATAGCTGAAGCAAATAAAATTGAAAATTCCTCATTGTATTTGTTTTTCTTCCATTTCAGCTTGTCAATGATCGAGGTTTTGAAAGAGAACTAGACCAACTAAAAGTTACTCGCGTAGAAAAACAAAATAATTGCGAATGGATTAGATATCTCAAAGATTATCGGGTAGAATTGTTTATGTTTGGTACTAAAAAATACGTTAAAGCTGACTAGAACTTTCTCACGATTGTTAATCTATCATTCTCTCCCTTTCAGAAGCATTTGGACAAATCATATTCAAACAATATATGTCAATACTGTGGAGGAAACTTTTTAGCACTAATCGCACCGCATAAACATATAAAAGATGATTGCCTTAAAGTGCCTGTGACCTGTCCACTGCATGACGAATATGGATGTTCGGATCATGTAAGTTTCCACTTCTTATCTTTTCTTAACAATGTATTTCACACTTCTAAATTGAATAATGTAGATAGTACGGGAAGATTTTGAAAAACATTTGCTAACTGAACAACAACAAGCAGCCTTAGTATCCTCCATTGTAAATATAATGTCGATTACACAGAGTCATTCTGAATTGATATCGAAGCTGAGGACGGACCAATCTATGGAATATGAATCCGCTCGGCGAAATAATTTAAGGAAGAAATGGAAAAATTTACCGAAAAACTTACGATCCTCGATCAGGGCATTAAAACATTAATGAGTAATACTGCACGAATTGCATCCGAAATCCAGAGAAATGAACATATTATTCAATCTGTATTCAGTGCTATTCAACCGTTAAAACTATCAATTGACGAAAAAGATTCATTTTTAGCCAGGGTTTCACAGAATCAACAAATAATTCAAGAAGAACTAACAAAAACTAAAGAAGATCTTCAAAATATCGAGCACACTTTTTATGATGGTATGTTCACTTGGAAAATAACAAATGTGAGCGATAAAATGGCGGATGCACAGAGTGAACGGCAAACTAGTATTTATTATCCACCTGACTTGACATCGAAGATGAGCAAAAACCGATCAATGGAATACGCCGCTCAGCGAAATAATTTAAATAAGAAATGGAAAAATGTACCAAAACACTTTCGATCCCGGACAAGAGCGTTAAAACATCACTGAGTGATAATGTATGAATAGATGCAAACTTTTAAAAAATGTAGGCTAGATGCATTCGGATTACAGAGAGATGAACATAGTATTCAAACTGCAGTGTGAACCTCAAACTAGTATTTATTTCCCCACCATTCTATTCTTCACCGAAAGTTCTTGATTTCTCCGAACAGGTCCTTTTCATTGGGAGCGGCTTCCAAGAAAACAGCATACATTAATCTATTCGGAATTTGATGATGATTCAGATACGCTACCCCACGTCTTGAACAACTTTTAGTTTTTGAGAAAGATACGATAAATTGTTTTAACGTGAAAACTAGTGCTTTCATTCTATTGTGTGATTTTTTCTTCATTCTGAATATATTATACAACTTGTTTAATTGTTAACTTTAGACAACCTAATTAGTGGAAAAACTTAAGGGACCGTGAAAAAAATATTTCACTCTTTTTTTTGAACTACTGTCATCTTAGTTTCGACCTAAACTGTATGTTAGATTCTGTAATTGACAACAGAAAGTGAAAATTTGTTTCATTCTGTACATATATCAGATTTCTTTTTTCTGCAAAATGAGAGAAAAAAAGCGAAAGAGATCTACATTTATTTTTATCTGAGCGCAGAAATAGTTGTGCGTAAAATATTGTATATGAATACGTTCCACGCGTTCTGTTATTTTTAGCAGCTTTCGAAGTAAAATATGCAAAAAATTAATGCTGGATGTAAAATTAAATGCCATTTAATTCGGCAGGATCGAATCCTGACGAATTTAAAAATCATAGGGAACCAACAAAACGAATATATAGTTTTGTAAAGAACATTTTAATGCATCTGTTGGTATTTTACTTTTATTTGGTTCTTTATCGATAATGAGAAAAAGTGAAAATGTTAAGTTTTAGTGAGTGAGTGAATAGCTTTGTTTGAGTGTGGTCCCATGGACTTTTGCTCTAAATTTTACTAAAAAGCAAGACGTCTACATATTTACTGTCCAGAACACAGGATGTGCTCAATCTTTTTGAATAACTGTAAGACTAAAAACTGGTATTCTCTAAACTCTCTGTCATTTCGTTTTCCAACGCACTTGAAACACTTGAGAAAAGTTCTCATAAAAGCACTTTCAATGAGTACATCTTCGAATTTTGTAAGCGAACAATGATTAGAAAAAGCTTTTATTACCCAGTCAGTCACATCTTTTGAAAATTCATTTTAACGCGGTTGTAGCATGCATAGAGCACGAGAATATACAGTTTCACCGAATTTTTCGTGTTTAGGACTCAACTGAAACGAATTTAACGCGTTTTGGCCAGAAATTAAGTTTGAAAACCGGCGTTTCTATATCAAATAATTTTGTGTAAAACGCGTTTTGAACGCAAATGTTTACCACTATGTATCGCGTTT